TATGCTTAGGGGCAACCAGCATGGGTTCATTAGAGGCAGGTCCTGGCAGACCAACCTGGTGGCCTTCTATGACCGGGTCACAAAATCCCTAAGGATTTTGTGCCCCGGTCATAGAAGGCCACCAGGTTGGTCTGCCAGGACCTGCCTCTAATGAACCCATGCTGGTTGCCCCTAAGCATAACCTCTCCTGCTGGCCCTTCGTGGACGATCCGATTTCTGCTACGCAGAACAGCAGCTTGAAGAGCAGTGGCCGGCTGGTAAGTCTGTTGTGGTGGAAGGGGAGGGGGCAGACTGAGACCCCTGTGGTAAGGGAGGAAGTGGGGCTGGGGTGGGGCTGGGATGGAGCTGCAGCTCATCCAGGGGGTGGCTCCCACTGCTGTGTGAGCCCTGGGAGGGCGTAGACAGCATGTGTTCCCCAGATCTGCTTGGGGCAGGGCAGGCTGCAGCTGCGGGCTGGGGCCAGGGCTGTGCCAGGCTCTTCCCAGCAGGGGCTGGGCCAGGCTGTGCTTATACTCTTAAATTTTGCGCAAAATACTTTTAAATTTTGCAATTCCCCCTCTCCCAGTGCTGCCACTGCCTGCCCCAAGTGCACCCCAGCCCAACCCCTGCCAGAAAGAGCCCAGTGCAGCCCCAACCCCAGCCCACAGCAACCTGCGCCCCCCAGACAAGTCACAGCTCCATCCTGTGCCCTGCCCCTCCCCACCGCAGCTGGGCAGTGCCTGCACCAACCCCTGCCCCACTCCCTCTCTCATGGGAGGGGCCTTTATCTGTCCCCCCATACCCCTTCCCTCCCACAACAGACTTACCAGCTGCATGCAGCTCTCCAAGCTGCCGGGCTGTGCTCCTCACTGCCTATGTGCGGTGCTGCAGCTGCGTGCATGCACAGGCCGCTTATTGACCACATATGGCTAATTTCCGATACAGTCAATCTTCTTTTTATCGGTGCCAATCCGATATCAGACCGATGTATCGGTGCACCTCTATGAGAAACAAGAGCATGACCTTCTTGTGCCTGGTGCAGGAAACTCTCCTTCTAATGTCCCTTCCTCCTTTACTTCCTGAAGTGGGCTAGAGCAGTGGTTTTGAATCCTTTTTGAACCAGGACCCATCTGTAAACATCAATGGGCAGTCTCAGCCCAGTGCCTCTCACTCATAACCTGCTGCCCCCAGCCACCCCAATGTGTGGGGCAGGGGGTATATGGGGCAGGGGTGGGTGTGTCAGGCAGGAGGAGCCCCAAGCAGCCCTTTGCAAGCTGGAAGTCTGCCAGCCTGTGGGGGGAGGGGAGAGAGGTTCTCATATTTTTCTCCTTTAAAAGACAAGCCTTTTAAAAAGTTTGTTCATGACCCTTTTATATAGTCTTGCAATCCACTTCTGGGTCATGATCCACGGGTTGAGAAATGCTTGGCATGCTTGGCCTGCAGGTGGGGCTACTGAAGTGCATCCCAGCACAGGGCCTGGTGCAGACAGTTCCTGTCTCTAGCCTGCAGACACTCAAAATTGACAAATGCGGAGGCTAAACTTCTCACGAAAGGCTTTTCCTTCAAAGAGCACATGGTTCATTCACTCTGCCTTGTTCTGAAAGTGGCCAACGGGCACTGCCCTGCAAGCAGCACTTCTCTGGGGTGAGGAGTGCAGCAGCTGCATTAGCAGGAGCACTGCCAGCAGGTCCAGGGAAGTGGCTCTTCCCCTCTATTCAGCAGTGGTGAGGCCACATCTGGAGTTTTGGGCCCCCCGCTACAGAAAGGACATGGACAAGTTTGACAGAGCAGTGGAAGGAAACGAAAACGGCTCTGGGTTAGGGGACATGACTTGCCAGGGCAGGCTGAGGAAACTGGGCGTGTTTAGTTGCCGAAGAGAAGACTGAGGGGGCACTTCGCAGCGGACCCCAGCAGAGGCTGCCACAAGGGCCGGCCCACGACAGCCATTTTACCTCCCCCCGAAGTTGACGACAACGATGACGTGAGGCTACCGTCCGCGCATGCGTTCTACGAGCGGACCCCTGAGCTCCGCGGCTCGCGGATTCCCGCGCTCCCCCGGCCCGCCCCGGCCCGGGCCCACAGCCGCCGCCGCCGCCCTGCGCTTCCGGAGCGCACCACTACCCAGCGCGGGGGGGGAAGGGGAGGGGCGGGCTCAACCATTTGCGAGAGGAGCGGGGCAGGGATACAAGCACACCAGGGGGCAGGTCGGGAGCTCGTCAGCAGTGCCCTTGCTATTTACTCTGCCCCCCCGCGTCCCAGGGGAATTAGTTCAGAACGCGCCACCCTCCGCGGTGCTTTGGTACAGTCCACTGCCGCATTCCACCAGCGTGGGGTGGGGAAGGGGGCGTGGCCAGCTGGGATGGCCCCGCCCCCTCCCAAGCCCCGGACCGAAGTGGGCGGGAGACTCAAGACCGGCCTCTGAGGAGAAGCATCCTGATAAATAATGCGCATATCTACAGAGGTGGCGAGAGCTTTGCCTGTGGTAGTTTTAAGTGCAGGTTCTATAAGCCCCTGTCTAGAATGGTTGTTAGGAGTGGATTAAGAGTCATTGGGGGACTGCATGGCCCAGGGGCCCCCGACCTATGCGTTGCCCCACCACCACGGGCCTCATCCCTGGCCCGCGCAGCAGGAGCAGGACGTGATACCTGCCCAGGCCCGGGCCCAGTCGGTCCATGCATTAAGCCGTCTATCTCAATCTGTGGGTCGCAACCCAAAAGTGGGTCACAGGAATATTTGAAAGGGTCACCAACAAACTTTAAAAATGGATTCACCTTTAAAGGAGAAAAATGTGGGAAACTGCGGCTTTTCCCTTGCAGGCTGGCAGTTTCAGCCTCAAGGGGGTGCTTGGGGCCCCCTATGCTCCATGCAACCTCCCTGCCCCACATAACCACCCCCTGCCCATGCACTGAGGGCAGAGGCCAGCAAGTCTGGAGTGAGGGGCACTAGGTTGGGATCGGCCACTGATGTTTACAAATGGGTCCTGGTACAAAAAAGGTTGAGAACTACTGGTTTGATTATCCGGCATTGAGGTGGTTGGACTGCTAGTCTGCTAACGCAGTGCTCTGAATGCCTAGGGATGCAGACCAAGGGATCCTGCATTGAGGAGGTGGTTGGAAAATAGTCTACTAATGCAGACCAAGGCAGATGAAGGTTGAAGAGAGCTTTTTTTTTTTTTTTTTTAAGAAAAGTTAACTATTATGCAAAAGATTAAATAATTTCAATGGAAACTTTTGGAAACCAGGTTGTAATGAGTAACAACTAGAACTGATAGTCAGCTGAGTTTAAGGATGACTTACAGAAGAAAAAACTATGTTTCTTCCCTTTTTAAACCCGTAGTGCAAAGGTTTTGAGAGGTTTCTTCACAACATTGATGCTTTTTACACTTATTTTTCTTTTACACTCAAAATTAAAACCTTACCAACCTTTTTTTTCTGGAAATCTCTACAGGTGATTGAAGAAAGAGCTAGCAGGTTCATGGATACTATGGGAATAAAACCTGAATACCACAAGGGTCATGTAATTTTTATTTTTTTTCAGACTTTTTTCCCATTTCTTCCACATGGGAGAAAAGACCTCTTTGTTAAAAGAATCAGCTCCCACCAATTCAGTTAAGTGCTGAGAAACAGTCTCACATGTCTGGGTCTTCCAATTAAGAGTCCTAAAATAAGCAAGATTTAGGAATACCTAAAAGGGGTGGGGGGTAAAAATGCCTTTCAAGCCATGTTTGTAGTACATAAAAATAGAAAGTGAAAGAGCATAAACTCCTTTTATTGCCTTAATGAATGCTGTTTAATGGCGACACAATCCCCGTAACAACCTCTTTAAATTGAAGGATTGTTTTTCATGTTAGTACTCCCCTGAGGCTAGGAACTGAAATGTGGTGGGGGAAGTTGGCAGCTAATATGGGCTCCAAATGCTTCTGCATTTTTGGAATTTTTCTAATGGACTCCAAGGCTGGATATTTACATTTTGCATATTCAACTCAAACAGCATGATTGGATTTCAGGAAGTTGTCGAGTGGGATGAAAATAGGAATTATACACAAAGAGCATTCTGAATCATTGTTATAGTTGAACAGTACATTGTTAGGAGCTTATTACCATAACTCATTTTCTATGTCTTCTTTAATTTTCATCAAATGCATCACTAAGTTGTTTCTCATTACTGTATTTGACAGCGTATTGCTAAAATGACAGCCATAATGTCAGGAAAGGAAGTCTGACTTAATTGTATGAATAACATGGAGGAGGTGGTCCATGAGTGGTTGATAAAGATTGTTTGCTGAAATATCCATTTACATTTCAAAGTAGAAAAATCACTACCAAATCACCAAGACCTGATGGCATTCAGAATCCTGGGGTCTTGAAGTAGCCTAGATTGGATATTGCCAAACTCCTAACTGTAGTATACAACCTATCACTAAAAACAGCCTTGGTATCAAGGGACTGGAGGGTTGCTAATGTGAATCCCATATTTAAAAAACGGCTCTAGAGGGGACTTAGGGAACTACTGGTCAGTGAAATACTTGTTCAGCATGTGGATGAACATGACTTGCTGGGGAAGAATCAACATAGTTTGTCGAAGGGAAATAATGCCTCACCAACCTACTGGAGTTCTTTGAGGGTGTCAATAGGCAGTGGCAACATGAAGGGGGTGCACAGGGATAGCCATGCACCCCCTGAGAGTGCTGGTGCACCCCCCTGATCAGCCGTGCTCACCACTTAGCCCCCTGCAAGCGTCAGCCAATCGCTGCAGCTGCTCCCAGAAGCAGCTGCAGCCACTCCCGGAAGTGGCTGCAGCGATCAGCCATAGGGGGAACTCCCCCCAGGCAGTAAAATTAGCTGCAGGGGGACCTCCCCCTCCCCGGGCAGCAAGACTGGTCACAAGGGGAACATGTGCCCCTCCTGACTAAGGCGGCACCAGTTGCCCATGTCATTAAGAAGGTGGATCAAAGTGATCCAGTTGACATAGTATGTCTAGACTTCCAAAAAGCCTTTGACAAGGTCATTAAAGGCTCTTAATGAAGTTAGGTAGCCATGGGATTACAGGGAAGGCCTACTTATGGATTTGAAATTGGTTTAAGAATAGAAAACAAACAGTAGGTTTAAAAATAGTCAGTTTTGGGGATGGGAAAAAGTAAACAATGAGGTCCCACAGGGATCTATGTTGAGACCAGTACTGTTTAACATGTTCATAAATGATCTGGAAAAGGGTGTGTGTAGTGAGGTGGCTAAATTTGTGAATGACACAAATTATTAAAAGCTGTAAAGACCAAGGTGGACTGAGGAAATACAGAAGGATCTGGTGTTGGCTATAAATGTCCAACTCGGGATCCTTAAAATTCTAATTTATTAGGCAGATTGAAACACTGTAATCATAAACCTTGGGGCTGGTCCCCACACACACGCACACATACACACACACAGTAGCAGGCTACAGAGTCAGGTATACCTATCCTACAAGTGCTGGAGTCTGCCGTCGATGGCCAGTCGAGGCTTCTTTCAGCGTGGTGTTGTCCTCCAGAAGGGGGTCGCCGGCTGGTCCTTCTGGCTGGACAGGTCTGGTCGAGTTGGAGATCAAGAGGGCACCACTGAGGGTCACTTTTCACTGCCTTTTATCTGTCCCTGGCAGACTTTGGTGACTCCCCAGTTTTCAGGTTTGCCCAATCCAGGGGTCGTTGACCCTCATGGGACTTCCCCCCCATGGCTACTGGACAGCATCTGTCAGCCCCAGGGGTCATCCGCATGTACGTGCAGGTTTGGGAGTCCGTTGATGAATTTAGAATAGGGCTCTGGGAGTGGTCGATCTGGAGATATTCAGCCCAAAAGTTGGTCCCCTGCGTTGATTAACT